ACGAGCTGCTCCTTGGGAACCCTGTGGGGCAGTTCTGCTCTGTTCTATAGGGCCACTATGAGTCAGAATCGACTCCACGGCAATGGGTTTGGTTTTTAGGAGCGCACATGGAGAAATTCCACTAAGATCCATAGCAAGACTTCCTCCTCAACCCTAACTCCATAATTCTGTATTATCTGGAATGGCCTCAGGGATACTTATCTCTGGTAACGTGGATTCATAAATGCTGTCAAATCCATAAATACGGGCAAATAAGCAAAGTCAATTACCTCAATTCTTTTCTCATATGCTTCTCCCTTTATAAGGCGATGTACATAAATCTTAGGAATATGGATGTCTTCTGGGGCAAAAGAGCCAATATCCACAATTTCTTCAACCTAGACAAAGTAAAATTAAAAAATAAAATCAGTTCATAAAAGGTTAAACTGAATATTTTTTTTTAAAGCAGAATATATGCATCTTCACCTCCAACTTAGACTGCATATACAAGTTATGTGTATATACATACTTACATATGTATACACATACGTATATGTACATATAGCTAGATATACAATGTGTATAAACATATATGTACATATATATCTATATACATATACGTGTATGTGTGTGGTGTGCGCGTGTATGAAATATGCTATCATACCCTCTAGACACAAAAGGGAAGAAATTCAAATGCGTATGTCTGAACAAAAAATACAGAGCATAAAGCTTCAGAACTTAATCTTTGCCTTAAAAAGTCTCAGTTACAAATTTATTGAGTAGTTTGTCAGGATAGCTGCTTGAACCTTCATAAATTGCAGCTCAACTACACAAAACTTGAAAGCATATTTTTTTCAGACCCGTATTTTCAAAATTAATGGGAAATTTATCATATCAAAGACAAAAATCTGTAACAACATCTGCTTGGTCAACTGAAGAGCCTTTTAAATATAGATACAAATGCTATTTGCAACAATTTTTAATTATTCTTGTTGTTAGCTTCCTAGGATCATGACAAAACTGCAATACCTGAAATAATTATACTTAAAGACAGTCCATTAATCTCGATATGGAAATTTCAAAATGGAAATGTTAACTAATAACTCTAATTAATTTAGTTAGAATTCAACATCATTCACAGAGCAAAAGGGCATTATATAACAATATAAAAGTCCCAAATCAGTCTATTATAAAATTCATATATTTTTTAAAAAGGACAAAAGAAAAAAAAATTTATTAATGTAAAAAAACCAAGATGAAAAGGATCAAGAATAGCTAAAGACAACATTTCTGTGGTCAAAGAATTAGCTTTCTGGTACCAAAAACAAAAACCAAAACAAAAAAAATCTTGATTGTGAGTTCTCAGCTGAATAGCACCATTTGCAACAAAGCAAATAACTACTTGCTTACATTAACTGACTTGTACAAGGAGAGCTGAATTCTAACTTGCCTCCTAAGCTATTAACTGAATTCTCCATCAGTTTCTGAGGTTGGGTTAGACAGTCCCCTTATGCTACTCTACTGCTTTATGTCTTCACTGAGTCCCTCCTACCATGAAAGAATACCAGGGTTTACAGGAGACATTTTAGTTATTATGCAATGTTCCCAAACAGCTGGAAAAAAAGACCAGGACATAATGGATAAAAGCTATCTTCTTTGATAAACAGCAGGATCTTGTCCAAAATTAAATAAAAACCCCAAAGGAAGAGTCAGTAAACGTGAGCATCGGAGTGGAGATTAATGGGTGGAAATGCAGAACTACATTCATCTGGGGATGTGCTGGGGGGAGGAAAGGGGAATCCTCATCACTGCGCTCTGCAACTTGCCCCTCCAAACCTCTCTTGCTCTGGTATTCTCCATCCGAGGTGGTGGCCAGGTGAAGAGGAGGTGGAGGTAGAAAGGGTGTTGATAACCTCTCCAGCTGACTGAAGATTTCAGTCATTAGGGCTCATTCACATCTTTACAATTGCTCAATTCTAGCCTTCTAAGAAGTTCTTGACTTTAAAAATGAGTTTATACATTAATGCACTATCGTGAGGATATATATGAAGACGTATTATTCATGAGAATATTAACCACAGCGTTCTTTATAATAATGAGTTGGAAACAACCTAAATCATCAACAATACGGGAAAAGTAAAATAAATACTGGGGCACCCGCGTGATGAGTTAATAGTGGCTCTCATAATATTTAATGGCACTGAGAAGTACTCAAAATTTAATGTTTCATAAAACTACAAAATTTTGTATAAATAAATATTTACATGTAGGAACTTTGGCACAATTATTTCTATAAACCAAAAAAACCCACTGCTGTAGAGTCAATTCTGACTCATAGTGACCCTATAGGACCAAGCAGAACTGCCCCATAGGGTTTCCAAGGAGCAGCTAATGGATTCGAACTGCCAACCTTTTTTTTGGTTAGCAGCCTAACAGTTAACCACTGCACTATACCTAGGAAAAACTGAAAGGAAATGCACTGAAATGCTAATATTTGTTTTTGTTTCTCTTTTACTTTCATAATCAAAAGGGGAGATCAGGTAAAGGAACAAATACTTTAAAAACAAAACGCAATAAGTACCAAGTAGGTAGTTTTAAGGACTATTGTTGTTATTGTTAGGTGCCATCAAGTCGGCTCCAACTCATAGTGACCCCATGTACAACAGAATGAAACACTGCCGGTCCTTTGCCAGCCTCACGATCATTGCTGTTTGATACAACTGTTGCAGCCACTGTGTCAATCTATCTCATTGAGAATATTCCTCTTTTTCACTGACGCTCTACTTTACCAAGCATGATGTCCTTCTCCAGGGATTGGTCCCTCCTGATAACATGTCCAAAGTACGTGAGGCAGTCTCACCATCCTCACTTCTAAGGAGCATTCTGGCTGTAGTTCTTCCGAAACAGATTTGTTCATTCTTCTGGCAGTCAATGGTATATTCAATATTTTTCACCAACACCATAATTCAAAGGCATCAATTCTTCTTTGGTCTTCCTTATTCATATGCATATGAGGTGACCGCAAACACCATGGCATTGGTCAGGCGCACCTTAGTCCTCCAAGTGACATCTTTGCTTTTAAACACTTTAAAGAGGTCTTTTGCAGCAAATTTGCCTAATGAAATACATCGTTTGATTTCTTGACTGCTGCTTCCATGGGCATTGACTGTAGATCCAAGTAAAATGAAATCCTTAACAACTTCAATATTTTCTCCATATATCATGATGTTGCTCCCACACGTCTGTCAGTTTGTCATACTGTGGGGACTTCCGGGTTGCTGTGATGCTGGAAGCTATGCCACCAGAATTCAGATATCAGCAGGGTCACCCATGGTGGACAGGTTCCAGCTGAGCTACCAGACTAAGACAGACTAGGAAGAAGGACCCAGCAGTCTACTTCTGAAAATAACTTGGCCAGTGAAAACTTTATGAATAGCAGAAGAAAATTGTCGGATATAGTGCTGGAGGATGAGCACCCCAGGTTGGAAGGCACTCAAAAGACAACTGGGGAAGAGTCGCCTCCTTAAAGTAAAGTCGACTTTAATGACGTGGATGGTGTCAAGCTTCCTAGATCTTTGTTTGCTGATGTGGCAAGACTCAAAATGAGAAGAAACAGCTGCAAACATCCATTAATAATCAGAACATGGAATGTACGAAGTATGAATCTAGGAAAACTGCAAATCGTCAAAAATGAAAGGGGATGCATAAACATTGATATTCTAGGCATTAGTGAGCTGAAATGGACTAGTATTGGCCATTCTGAATCAGACAACCACATGGTCTACTATGCCGGGAATGACAACTTGAAGAGGAGTGGCATTGCATTCATCGTCAAAAAGAACATTGCAAGATCTATCCTGAAAGTACAACGCTGTCAGTGATAGGATAATATCCATACGCCTACAAGGAAGACCGGTTAATACTATTATTCAAATTTATGCACCAACAACTAAGGCCAAAGATGAAGAAATTGAAGATTTTTACCAACTTCTTCAGTCTGAAATTGATCAAACATGCAATCAGGATGCACTGATAATTACTGGTGATTGGAATGCGAAAGTTGGAAACAAAGAAGAAGGATTCGTAGTTGGAAAATATGGCCTTGGTGATAAAAACGATGCCAGAGATCACATGATATAATTCTGCAAGACCAATGATTTCTTCATTGCAAACACCTTTTTTCACCAACATAAACGGTGACTATACATATGAACCTCAACAGATGGAATACACAGGAATCAGTTCAACTACATCTGTGGAAAGTGACCATGGAAAAGCTCAATATCATCAGTCAGAACAAAGCCAGGGGCTGACTTCAGAAAACACCATCAATTGCTCATATGCAAGTTCCAGCTGAAACTGAAGAAAATCAGAACAAGTCCACGAGAGCCAAAGTACGACCTTGAGTATATCCCACCTGAATTTAGAGACCATATCAAGAATAGATTGATGTGTCAAACACTAATGACCAAAGTTGTGGAATGACATCAAGGACATCATACATGAAGAAAGCAAGAGGTCATTAAAGACAGGAAAGAAAGAAAAGACCAAAATGGACTTCAGAAGAGTCTTTGAAACTTGCTTTTGAACATCAAATAGCTAAAGCACACGGAAGAAATGATGAAGTAAAAGAACTGAACAGAAGATTTCAAAGGGCAGCTTGAAAAGACAAAGTAAAGTATTATAATGACATGTGCAAAGAGCTGGAGATAGAAAACCAAAAGGGAAGAACACGCTTGGCATTCCTCAAGCTGAAAGAACTGAAGAAAAAATTCAAGCCTCGAGTTGCAATAGTGAAGGATTCTACAGGGAAAATATTAAACGACGCAGGAAGCATCAAAAGAAGATGGAAGGAATACACAGAGTCATTATACCAAAAAGAACTGGTCAGTGTTCAACCATTTCAAGAGGTAGCATATGATCAGGAACTGATGGTACTGAAGGAAGAAGTCCAAGCTGCACTGAAGGGACTGGCGAAAAACAAGGTTCCAGGAATTGACGGAATATCAATTGTATGTTTCAACAAACGGCTGCAGTGCCGGAAGTGCTCACTTGTCTAAGCCAAGAAACTTGGAAGACAGCTACCTGGCCAACCGACTGGAAGAGATACATATTTATGCCGATTCCCAAGAAAGGTGATCCAACCGAATGTGCAAATTATCAAACAATATCATTAACATCACACACAAGTAAAATTTTGCTGAAGATCATTTAAAAGCAGCTGCAGCAGTATGTCGACAGGGAACTGCCAGAAATTCAGGCCGGATTCAGAAGAGGACGCGGAACCAGGGATATCATTGCTGATGTCAGATGGATCTTGGCTGAAAGCAGAGAATACTAGAAAGATGTTTACCTGTGTTTTCTTAAATATACAAAGGCATTTGACTGTGTGGATCAT